GCTATATTCATGGATAAAGGTATTAATGGCTTAATAATGGTATATTAATGGTTTAATAATTGTATATCAATGGTTTGATAATGGTATATTAATGGCGTAATAATGCTTTATTTATGGGTAATGGTATATTAATGGTTTAATAATGGTATATTGATGGTTTAATACTGGTGTTAATGGTTTAACAGTGGTCAATGATGGCTAATAATGGCATATTGATAGTTTATCAATTTTTGGTATATTAGAGGTTTTGATAATTGTATATTAATGGTTTCATACGTGATGGTTAATCATGGCATTATCATCGGATCTTAATAGCTAATTTAACGGCTATTATTTGTGAATGATTGACAAATGTTGATAATATTGGGATACTAAAAATGGGGTATTGAATGGATTTACCCTCTGGTGTCATCAAAAAAAAATGCACTTGGAAATCCGGGAACTTTTCCATGGAGGTTTCTCACTGGGAAAATAGAATCCATAAATAGTGGAATTTCCCAGCTAGCCATGTTTGATGACACCAGAGGGTACATCGATTTCTTGAGGCGGCTCTCCTGAACTCAACCTTGAAGGTGTTTTGAGAACTAGTGGCCATATGCGCCATGGTTCAACATCACAGACTCTCAACATGTTTGATGGGAAAATCCCTTGCATGCGTTGGTAAAATGGGTGGTGCAATCATACCAGTGACAACATTTTATAGTCCCATGGTGCACCATCTATGACCCAGACCCATGTTCCATAAACAAACATTCCTATCAGATTCATATAGACGGGGACGTCATAAGTGCATTTGATGGTTTGACATCATGTGGATGATGATCCAGATTGGCTGCTCGGATGGGTTGAATTTTCCAACCAGATCGGCGGGGTCGCTCCAACCCATTGTATGTATACAAATGATAGCCACAATGGGCACAATTTTGGGGGGAATTGGGAGCAGCCCTGACATCAAATCCCAATTACTGGTGCGAACTGGATCTGATTTCTGAGGAAATGAACCCAACTTCCTCTACAACGCAGGCAGATGTCAAGGGTCAACTGGGAGGTCTCAAAATAGGACACTCTATGGTACCCCCAAATTCCATGGTTTATCATCGCTCCCCCCATTTCTCGACAAAGCCAACTGTTGATTTTGGGCCTGGTCGTTTGACCCCTGGTTGAATACAATATATAATATACCAAAATGATTCTGCATTTATTATGTGTATGTATACTATACGCATACAAATAGATCGATGGATCGATGGATGGACAGACAGATAGATTGATGGAGATATAGATAGGCAGATAGAGAGATAGATAGACAGCTAGATGGATTTAGAAAACAAACACCGAGCGCCATGGTTGGACGGCCATAGTTGATTGGGTGGATCATGTGAGCCTCCCCAGTTACAACTTATACCCCCATTTACTATAGATGATTAGTCTATCTGCCTAATAGTGGTTGAAGTTATAAATCATCTTAGCTAACTACTGTGGATGCAAGAAATCCTGCATCAGTTGGTAAATGGTCTATTCCCATTACCCCATTACAGTCCCAGTGTTTCATAGGAACCCCAACGTCTGGTGAAGGTCTTTCCGCTGCGAACCTCTTCTTACGGGTGCTGAGTGACGTGCAGGCGGGCTACGGCAAGTGACTGCAGGGTGAGCGAAAAGACAAAGGCTGGTTGTTTGGTGGATGCCATATGGTCATACCATCTGGTAAACGAACATGACTTGCTGAAAATTTCCTCCAACATATAGATGTTTCCCACTGAGACCCCATTTAACATGTTCCCATCTTTCAATGGCCATGTTTGATGACACCGGAGAGTACTGCTCAACTCGTCAATTTGGGGCCTTGAACCTGGACGTCACTGGACGTCTAAGATTTAGCTCTTGCTATTTAAGGATGGGTCCAAGTGTGGTTTACCAAGTTTACCACCGAAAAAGGGACCCAGGGAACAACATTTTTTGGGCACGGCTTAGGAATATGATCCCCCTTCAATCCGGGATGTTGGCTCAGCCAGCTCGCCAGCTCAACCATCCAAGAAGGTTCACCACCAGTTTTCCGCAGCTGCACGGTGATCCATGCAAAGTGGGATCCCTGAAAGATAGCTAGGTTGGTGCAAATAAGTCCGACAATTTTGGTTTCTGATACAACTTGGCTATGGTATACAGTATATACATGGAGGTTATAACATGTTACAACCCAACTTAGCTATTGTTTGGGGGGGCCCACATTGTGGTGGTTTCAGGCGATGTTCAATATCTACTTTGCCAACCATCCTGACTGGGATCAAAGCTGCGAGACCGGACTCCCAGCCTGGGCAGTTCAGCCAGGAGCGGTTGGGGAAACTGACTGGATTTATAGTTGCTGGTACAACTGGAAATCTGCTTGGATTTAAGTGAATGTACCGACATCTTCTAACATCTTCTAACATACAATATCAGCCAAGCAACTGCTCTTTCTTTCTGACAGGGGATCTAGGATTGGCCAGGTGAGGAAAAGCACGTAGATTAGTGGCCTTGCAGAGTTGGGAACTCTTGTGATTTGCCCAGAGGATGATGGAGGACCTAGCTGTGACAATGGAGACATTATGCGCTTCCCCTAAGATCTTGTCGGAATAAGATAATTCCCGTATATATATATATATTATATATATATATTATATATATATTATATATATATAGTGTATATATATATATAGGTATATATGAAGCTTAAAAAGTAATCAAACATCACTTTTCCGTTGTCATTCTCGACATGTCTCCACCGATCATGATTTTCCCAGCGACGCAGCTCTGAGGTCCCTGCCTGCTCGCTTCAACTTGCTCTTTGAGAGTGAAAAGGTGAGGCCAACCTCCAATTGGATGCTCGGCATGATGAGATGCTGATGTTCCATGAGAACGGGGACACAAACGTGTACCACTTATGTAATTCCATTGGATGGTTTGTTTGATTAAGTAATCATTATACAAGCGTTGTTGCACAACAAATGCAATAAATTTAGTCTACCACCCGGTAATTTATTATACCATAGATGTGCAAAAACAAAAAGTATTAGCTTCAATCGGTAAATCATCAAAACTCAATGGGCCATTTGCAAATCATAGCTGTGCAACAGAGTACTGAAGGGTAATTCCCACTCATTTGCCTATTTTTGTTGGTTAAATCCCCATTGGCCCATTAAAGCACCATACAATTCCATTATATAAAATTATATAAATCACATTAAATCACAATAAAATCCCATGAGATCACCATGAAAATTTCCTTGAGCCGTGTGATGACCAACAACGGAATACTAAATATTGTTTGTCGGTGCTGCTCGTAGCTTGTTCACCCTGCACCATTTCTGTGGGATTATCTCGTCTTTAAGCGGGTAGACAAACCCTTTAAAGACTATAAGTAATCAAAATGTGTGAAAGAAATAAAGTGAAAGGATTGTCAGATGTTCTAATAAGAATAATATCGATATGATATGGCTATAAATACAGAAACACAAATAATTGCCTATAATATAGTCATCATATAGTCAATTGGGATTCTTGGGGTAGAGACAATGCCCCATAAACTTGGAGATTTTCATAGCTTGATGCTGTATCAATATGTAGTGTTTCTACAATTCGGGTACCCCGACCATTGATTTCCCCATCGAACTATGGATGACTTTGGAGGGTTCCGATTTCTAGGAAACACACATATATTCTCATATATTAGACTTGCATTTATGAGCCATTGCGAGTTATTTTGCCCATTAGATTTACTAGCAATGATGCACAATTGTTAACCATCCCAGGAGAGATTCGAGGCTGCTGAGATTCAAGGCGTCGGGAGGGCAGGGCCACCATGGTTTGGTAACAAAAACATCCCGCCGGGTCGGGAACTGAACGTGTAGTCGTTGCGATTTTATGAATTCATCAACTTTGGGAAACGTGGTATTTACAATGTTTTTGACGCCTTGGCAAGCACAAAACGCGCGTAATTACAATGTTTCTTGGATTTTGCCTGTGTTTTCTGAGATAAAACTTCATTTTTTTCATATTTTGGGGGGTCCAAAAATTTAGCAATTTTTGGGAAAAATGTGAAAAACATGTGATGTTGACTCAGTTCTGTGACATTTGAGCTCGCGCGAATTTCTTTTTTCTTACAGTATTCACCTGAGTGACATGAGAAAGTGTGAATCTCCATTGCCTGTGCTCTCTGGGGTAAAAGCGCATTTTTCATGTTTGGGGGAGTGCCAAAAACGGACTATGTTTTTGCGACATGCTATTTTACCTCAACTTTTTGATGTTTGAACTCACGCGGTTTTTTTGTCCTTCTTCAGTTCGTTTCCAGCAGCCACAAACAGGTCAATGACATGAGAGTGCGTGAATCTCCATTGCCAAGCACAAATACTGAATACTAGTTTCAATTTGGGGCGACTTGGAGCTGAAACTGGCAGGGATATTCTTTTTCAAATGAACCCAGGCACTGTCAATGGTGGCGCAGCATCAAGAGCATGTCAGAAGTTACTTGAGAAAGCCAATAGACATAGAGTAAAATCAAGAGCACGTCAAAAGTTACTTGAGAAAGTCCATAGCGTAGCATCAAGAGCATGTCAGAAGTTTATTGAGAAAGCCCATAGAGTAACGTCAAGAGCGTGTCAAAAGTTACTTCAAAAAACCCGTAGAAAAGCATAGAAAAACATCAAGCATGTTGAAACGCAGGCGAAAGAGCGTTATCAGCCCCCCCAACCCCACCCCACCCCCCCCCGCCTCACCCCACATGTGCAAAATGCAACATCATATCAATTGCATCAACAAACCACCGGGTCGAAATCTTGTTGCAAAAATCCACAAAGTCAAAAAAGCACGCCTACCGAAGTAAAAGCATGAATAGTAGAGATTTAGCCAACAACATATTCACAAACAAAATACGGGAATATATGGGATACTCTCGGATTTGAAGGGATTTTTGCAACTCAAAAGCTGGTCATATGAGAAACCCAATAAACTGGTTGGTGGTTTGGATTTTTTTGTTATTTTCCCCTATAGTTGGGAATAATAACCCTAACTGACTAATATTTTTTCAGAGGGGTTCAAACCACCAACCAGTAAAGATCAGCCGTGAATTTCCAAGGATATACCAGCATCAGCCTCTGCGGAGTTGAAACTATCAACGGCTGGTTGGACTTGGCGAGTTCGCTCAAGACCAGCTTGTCATGAATGGTGAGGATCAGAATCCGCTAATATGTGGTTATATGATGTTATATGCAAACATAAATAGAATAATAGATAAATATAACTATAATATATAATATAATATATGATTTAATATAATATAATATAATATAATATAAACCGTATATAATATGTAATATAATTTATAATATAATATAATATAATATAATATAATATATACAGTATATAATATGTAATATAATTTATAATATAATATAATATAATATGATATATAATATAATTTAATATGATATATAATATAATATAATACAATATAATATAATATAATATAATATAATATAATATAATATGATATGATATATAATATGAATATAATATGGAATATAATGTAAAATAACATATTTTTGATATAATATATAATATAATATTTAATATTCGTAATATATGATTTAATATTTAATATTATATATTTATATTTAATATGTAATATATAGTATTTTTTATATGCTATAATAGAATATAATATACCATAATACAATATAATACAACACAATACAATATGATAAATGTGTACATGTATGTTTTAGAAGTATATATATATATGAGTGCATGTTGTTTATTTATTTACAGTAATACGTATATGTACAACATTGTATATGATATATATATATATATACATGTGATCGTTATATATTCACCAAGGTACCAATTGTGAAGCATCAACATGCTAGGAACATCAACATGTAGGTGGGTGTGAAGATAGGGTACCCCATTTCATCCACTGATTCATCATCATTGTCCCCACCGCTGTCAGAAGAAGAGCGAGAAGATGAAGATCACACACCGCGCCAAAGACAAAGTGAGCCAGCGTGGGGAAGAACTTTCCAAGGACGATTTGGCCATGCCTCTTGTCAGCAAATCAGTGGAAAGATCGCATGGAAACATTTGGAAAAACTTGATTTGATGTGAGGAGTCCTTTTTTTTGTATGTGTGTGTGCTTTACTGTAAGAAAGCGTTTGATACTGTGAAGATTGCAAGCAATATCTGCAAAAGTCACTTTCCACAGGAGGGAAACCCTGTTGATGGCCAAAGCATTGGGATCCCTTGAACCCATTGGAAACTCTCGCCTCAGTCCCCATGACGCCTGGAAAGTTCGTGCCCTGAGGATTGAAGATTGGCATTGGGTCAGCAAGCCGCGTTGGTATGTACCGATGAAGTGGGTCGGCAAGCCGCGTTGGTATTTCAGCTCCGACACGCGTGCGGACTTTTTTACCCAAACACCTCCAGTGCACGGCAAGGCATCCCGCGGGTAGCGGTGAGGATCGTGGGCTTGAGGCTTGGGGTTCAATGTTTGGATTGGTTTTGTAGGTTTCTTTTTCTGCATGAGAATTTGCTGTAGGTGCTGTTGCTGTTTGGATTCTATGTCCAATTATAGTCTGGTTTTGGTAAACATATTCCACCTGGTTTCTCTCCGGAGGTTGGTCAACCATGAGGAGCCCAAGCTCTCAGCAGTGCCTAAATGAGATAGCCCATTGTATTGCCTATGATGTATCTCCTAAATGTTCATTGTAGATTGTATAGCCTATGACCTATGATTTCCCATTGTATCCCCCATCCAAAGTCGCCAACTATCACTCCATCGTTGTTCCAATGGGAATGGTTCATCATCATATAATGATGACATAATACTCAACGATAGGTTGTTTGCGGGGTATATGTTGCATGAATATATACGCCATATTATATATATATATATATAAGTATACATAATTATACATAATTAATCATAATTATACATAATTATACATAATTCTACATAATTATACATAATTATACATAATTATACATATGCATTAACAACTACATCTACATCTACATCAACAAAAAACACCATTTCTATGGTAGGTCGATTCACCCAATATGACTGTCGGAACAGGATGGCTGGGCCACGGCGGATGTTTCGGACTTGGATGCAGTATCTTGGAGACTCCTTACTTGCGTCGAAGCAAGTAATAGCACTGGTTAATGATGGTTAATAATGGTTAATAGCGGTTAATAATGATTTATCATGGTTAATATTGTTTTATCATGGTTAATAATGGTTAAGAATGGATATGATGGTTAATGATGGTGAATAATGGTCAACATACCGTTAATCATGGTCAACAACGGTTAATATTATTAATGTTAATATACAGTGATGGTTAATAATGGTTAATCATGGGAACAGAAACAACCAGAATGGATATAACGGAACCAAACAATGGATGCAATATAAGCAACTACCATTTGGTGATGGTTGAGAGAAAATGCATTTATGGTGATTTTGGGGATGGTTGATGACATTGGGTTTATCTCATGAGGGGATTCTCCAAACAAAATTTGGTAGATTGGAGTATGTTTCAAAACATGGGATGACGTCAACCGGTGATATGAGTCATCGGTATGAGTAATCCAAAATGTATCCTTGCAGCAAAACTGCAGGCGGAACGGTTTCTCGCCTTCGCCTAAGTGTTGTTTTTCGGTTCCTTGGTCAACTGGTTATGGCCCAAAACTTTGGTACCACTGCACTGTGGGTAAAACAATGTCTTAAACCACCCACGATGGGGAATGGTAAACATGCCACCTATAAAAATGGTGATGGCTGGGGGAAGGTTTATGGTATTGTTTTACCCACATTGCTGTGATTGATTATTAACCATCATTAACATTCATTAACCATTATAAATCATCATTAACCATTCTTAACCATTATTAACCATTCTTATTAACCGCTATTAACCGTTATTAACCATCATGTTCTTTTGAGAGATTCCCAAGTGGCCTGGCCATCTGACCATATCTGACCCGTCTCCCAAAACGGCCATGATTTGAGGTCATGTGGCCTCATGTCTGGTGTGAGTTGGTGGAGCAGGCTGGGTGCTAAACTGCCCAACAGCTCGGTGGCTGGGAAATGCAGGGTTTATGGCCCATAAATGAAGGTCTGTTTTGGGAAAATCATCGAAATCTTGGGGCATTTGAAAATGGATTTTCCAGCACGCCATGTTTGATTACCGGTTGGTAGTTCACCCCCTGTTACTTTACGACTTGGCCGGATGAAGTTGAGGTGGGCATTTCGAAAATACTCTCGGAATCTCGAAAATGGCACACTCTGACAGATGGTCACTTCCCCTTTTAGCCATGCACATGCATCCCGTTTCTTTTCTGGCGGTTGTCTCCGACCCCATTTCCAATTCCCTCGTACATATGGGCGTGTCAAAAAAAAACGAAAATTGCTGCCCAATCAATCGCAGTTTCAATGATTGGAAAATGATGATCAAAGTCCTTAATTATGTGTGTATATAGTAATTACTATTACTGTAAATAATTACCATCAATTACCATTACCTAGCAAGATTTTGATGGCCTGCCACATCTTGAAGCCATGCTTATCAATTAGTTATATTTCTTCGCCATGATGTTCATTCATTTCGCCCATGTTTTCTAATTTGTCTAGTTTGGTCGCTCTCCGCGTCAGGAGTGGAACAGCATGTCTACTGAGCTGCCACAGGAAGAAGGCGGAGCTGGGTCTAGGAACCCCATTGAAACCAATGGAGGTTACAACCAGTAGTATAAAGACAAGTTGTTTATTAGAAATATAAGGATGTTACATGTGTTTTTTTAAACATTGATTTTACTTTTTTTGCATGATTTTACATGATAGTGTCAGGAAAGGAAACTGTGTTTACCGGAACGGATTGGATTTCACCGGCAAATGTATGGATTTATCTCGCCGAAGGGGTTGAAGAGATATGAATGATGGAAATGTATTTGTCCAAAAAAAAGGAGCTGCTGCTTTTTCCGAAGATCGAATGTGAATTGGGAATGATGTTCTACTCCACTGGAAGTGGAGTGGAGCTCCTCAGTTACTGTACCATGAATGATGCCATTTCAGGTGAAATGGCAGGTTTGAGCAACCGGTAATGATTACAGATTACAGATTTATAAGTTTTGAAAGAAACCTAGGGTCAAGTCATACAGTGTAAATTGATCCCATATCCAAACTAGAATAACGCCCCCGATTTTGGTAATTTCTGGATTCTTGGGGAAAGGGACTTGCAATAACAGGGGAAATGGATTTGATTCATCAAAGTTGGCTGGGAAATTCCCATATTTTGCGGGGAAATTATGTATAATTACGAGATAAGTTGGGGATTTGCCAGGCCGGCAGGCTTGTAACGGTTTGATTGGTGGAGAGAGGGTCTTCTTTGGGGGGTCGAATTATCGGCCACGGTTTGTACCGTTATTACTCCAGAGGAGAAACAGCTAGAACTTGACGTTGGGATATTCTTTTTACACCAGAATGATAAGACCATATATCATATAAGATCATCTTCTAGCTGATTGCACTTGACCAAAAAATACCAAACATATGAGTTAACACATGTTTTGGGCACACGTTTGTCTCCTACACACAGTGGTGGACTGTAGGCTGCCCTTGGGAAAGTTGGATGTTCCACGGTGAGGACGAGACCATCTGGAAGGATTCTCTGGTAGAGTTGTACCATAAGATTCCAGAACCGGTGCTTTGGCGGAGAATTGATTATAAAGGCTGGTAGCCTCGATGATGATGATGATGATGATGATGATGATGATGATGGGCTCACCGGTCGAATCTCTCCCTCCAAGAAAGATGGGCACCCAATTGAAACAGAGACTGAATGGTTGGGATGGTGATCATCGGTATGATCTAGATTAATTCAGTATGATGATATATATAACTATATAAGTATTGTATATATATATACAGATGATGCTGGGGTTGGACTGGTGGATCATCTTCGTTTCTGGTGGAATTGCTTAGAGTCATACTGCAGGGTTTGGAACCCAAAAAGACATTTGATTGTCATTTCATGCCTGACCCTGGCCTTTCCCAAGCCAGGATACGGGGTCCAGATTCTGGAATGGGGAGTTCACTCCCAGAGTGGTCTTACTTCATCTCATCTTACCCCCTTTCCGTGGATTTGACAATTTATTGAGAACAGTCTGAACAAAATGATCTAATGACATCTAATGACTGTAAATAGACCTATCTTGAAAGGAAGACCTGATGGGTGAGGGGATCCCATGTTTTTTTTCGAGTTGCTTGCATGTAGGGTATACACGATCCCTTCAGCCTTCAGAAACGATGGTGATCTTGGGAAACTATGTGGACTTACCCAGACCCAGCGACCTTTTTCTGAAAATTCAACCATCTTTACTTGTGATTAATGGATCATTCATGGCACATGTAGTGGTTCCTGCGGTGTATGTTGACCGATGGTAATGATCACTGGTGGGGCCGAGCAGGGGATTATCACACTCCACTACACGGGATTGCACAGTAGGGTGGTGACTCTATGTACATGTGTATATATATATATATATACACATATTTATATATATATATATATGTATGCATATATATATGTATTTTATACACATACATACATACATACATACATACATACATACATACATACATACATACATACATACATACATACATACATACATACATACATACATACATACATACATACATACATACATACATACATAATACATACATACATACATACATACATACATACATACATACATACATACATACATACATACATACATACATACATACATACATACATACATACATACCCTTTGGTAATCAAAGATGGCCAAAACCCACCATTTATAGATGATTTTCCCCAGTAACATCTCCGTTTTGGGGGATTCCCGGCAGCTCGGCTCAGGTCAAACCTCTCATGCAAAAGTATTCCTTGGACTCACTGGGCGAATTCTTGGTGGAGATGTCCCTTGGAACCCTTGGAGCTGATCGCAGGGGGAATTCCTGCAGATGGAAGATGAAAAAAAGATACCATGATAGACAGATTGATTATTTACATGAACTAGATTAATTATTAGCAGAAAAGAGAGCTGCGAGCGTGTGTGTTTGGGCATGTGTGAAAATGCCTAATTTGGCACTTGGTGTCCATCTCATTGCCTAATAAACCAGTGAGACCGCAATTCTGGAGATGTACCTCACCCGTCCAAATGCCAGAAAGCAAAAAAGAAAAGGATTACAGTAATATATATATATATAGATATAGATATATTGCCTAGAGTCCGTAGACTTTTTAATGATTAATGCACTTTCTCAAGTAGATCCTGTTCCTTGTCAAAGGATTATTACATGGAACCGCTCACCTCTCATTGTTCATTAGATTATAGTTATAATTAGGTTTATTCGCTTGATTTTATTGATTAGATTAATTAGATTAGTTGGATCGATTACATCGATTAGATTGATTAGTTTATTAGTTTGATTGCTTTTATTGATTAGATAAATGAGATAAATTAGATTAAGCATAATATATAATTAGATCGATTTGATTGATCAATGAGATAGGTACATGGATAGATAGACGTACAGTAGCTGTTTTTCTTCGACAATGGCGATCTCAGTGGTGATTTCCCGTGGGTCGAGTGGGCAAAGTTGAGGAGTGGGCTTTGATAATTGCTGCGAGCAATCTGTGTGAAGTCAGCATTAGCATGGAAATTTAATTGCAACAAATTATGTTCCCATGTAATACTAAAGCCGTATTTGAGGAGAAATATGTTCATGTCATCATGTCAGCCTTATCCAATAAGTAAGATCATTAGCTGTTTGTGTAATCAGCCCTTGGTTGGGGCTTTTTAAACCAACAAGTGTTGGGGCAGGTACATGTGTGCCAGTGTGGGGTACTTCTACTGTGAAAGTCTCTCCAACAGAAGCGAGAAGAAACAGGAACAACAAGAACAAGAAGAAGAAGAAGAAGAACAACCACAACCACAACGACAACGACAACAACAAGAAGAAGACGAATATCCACCAAGACACTGAAACGATTGCTGCGAGAGAATGTATTCACTAACTATATATAGACGACATGCTCACATGCTCACATATTATTTTAAAAGGAGCACGATACCCTGTACGTGCCTGCATACATGCATGCATGCATACATGCATACATGCATACATGCATACATACATGCATACATGCATACATGCATACATGCATACATGCATACATGCATGCATCCATGCATACATGCATACATGCATACATGCATACATGCATACATGCATACATGCATGCATGGATGCATACATGCATACATGCATACATGCATGCATGCATCCATCCATACATCCATACATCCATGCATCCATACATCCATACATCCATACATCCATACATCCATATATCCATACATCCATACATCCATACATCCATACATACATATACATATATACATACATACATACATGCATGCATACATACATACATACAAACAAGCAAACAAACAAACAAGCAAACAAGCAAACAAGCAAACAAACATACATACATACATACCTACCTACCTACCTACATACATACATACATACAACATCATACAACTACAATTTTACATACATCTTTAGATGCATTGTAGACGGTGCATTTACGATCAGAACGGTGCTGTATCTCAACCAACAACCTCTACAGCCTTCAGCCAATTTTTAGAAAGTCTTAGAAGATTCACTTTTCTCTCATTTTGGGGGTTGCTATACATACCCATTATCACTACAATTAAAACCAATTGAACCAATTTACCATAGTTATCAAACCATTTCAAGGGTTTCCAGCGGCCGACAACTTCAACCTGAGGTTGCCAGGTTTTCCAGAGGCTGGTTGTCCAGAGAGGACCTGAGCCCATGGCCCGTGCGCTGGGTCAGTGGGTCAGGAAGAGGATCAAGAATTGGAGATTTGTTCATGACTTTTGATACAGGATGGTGCCCCCCAGTTATAAGTTGGTTTATAAACCCCATTAACTATAGTTATATCTGCCATAAACCATAGTTATGGGAGTTATAAACCAACTTAGCTAACGAACTGGGGCACCACCTTGTAGCCATGGTTTCCTGATGACACGGAACGACAGTGCTCAAAACCATGGTTGGAATCCATGGGATGTAGTGGATTTAATGGTTCCTGATGTCGTTGGTCATTGGATGATGGGATCATGGGACAATCTTAGGGAAGGGAAAGCTCCCTCCGGTGTCATGAAACATGGCGAAAGTGCGAGTTTCAATGGGCTTTAAGTGGGAAAAAACATCAAACAAAATTCTGGAGGCTTCATGGATTTTCCAGCACGCCACATTTGATTACCGGAGGATATATCCATACTATAACATGTGATCCAGATACATCCAGATACCCAATAAAAACGACCCAAAAAAACTGGCATTTGCCAAAGAGTTGATTGCTGGATGAGGGGGAAGCAGCATGGTGCATAGTCGTGTCGGGAATCTCGGGATTCCATATTGGTCTTGATGATAGTGCAAGACCGAGACCGGTCTTGATTAGAGCGCAACCGGTCTCGATCTTATCCCAATTTGTTGATGTGTTTTGCCCATGTTTGCTCTACTGAAATGATCTCGACCGTCGGGGGATCATCCCAATGAACATGTCCAGTTCAGAACATCTCAGAACGATAGTTAATTACTCATCTAATGAGCACAAAATAATTGACCATGCCCTATGACATTATATACGTCCTAATGGAAAAAAACAAATGGTCGAAGTCTGGGTATCTTTAAGTGACATGCAACCAGATTTTCACCTTCCAGATTGATTGTTAGTTTAAAAGAGTATAGTCCCACAAACTGACTCTAAGACATTTTAAATCAGGCTTTTCATGTTTCCATGATTAACCCATGATTAACCCATTATCAAGCCATTATCAACCAGTACAAAGCATTAGGATTCCGCTGGCGAGGATGAAGGTCAAAGAAGTGAAGGCGGTCGACTACGCGACCTTCGCCCTGTTGGCTGCCTGGGACAACAGCATCACAGCCACTGGGCAGCGATATGCAGCGATAGCTGGGGACCGGGCCGAAGGGTACCAGTGGCCTGGGATACCCATAACCTGCAAAATGGATCAAAACTGGTAACTGAGTGGTCGTGTCAGTGATGGTAAGTGATGGTAGCTGGTGATAACTGATGGTAGCTGATGGTAATTGGTTGTTTATTCATGTGTTTTTTTTTTTCGGGCATTTTGAGGTTTGCGAATTTTTGACCCACACCCAAATGGCTTGGATATCCCCAGCAATGGGTTTGTAAGATTGATTGGCCAGTTTGGGGCACTTGCGTCATTTTATGTGGAAGAAACTGCTCAGAAGAGTGAGCATCAAGTGGATGGTGTGGAAGGTTCTTTTTTAGACATGGCTGACGTTCAGGGACAGTTGGGTAATCAAACAAACATCCTGGTTTAGTTTGAAAGTATCAGGCCACTTGACTGTGGTTCCAAGTATATTGTCATCTTAAATGTCATCAAATTTGAGTTCAGTTACAATCCCAGACATCAACTTGAAGTTGACTTCCTACATCCCATCCCTTAATATGTTTTCATCATTTGTTCACTCATCCCATGTGTTTTCTGGCGACGTAAGTCATGGCTCGACTGTGGCTCAAGGTCATGGAGAACTCGCTGAATTTCTTCCAGATGCTCGTCGAGAAGTTGATCGCCAAGGAGGATGAACTTCAGATCTCAGGCTCGTCGGGTTGGACTGAAGCAGTGGTGGATGGACATCCAATTAATAGGGATTGATGGAATATGTTGTTTTTTCCTGGGATTATGGATTTGTATACATATACATATATATATATATACATATATATATATATATACATATATATATACATACATATATATATATATACATATATATATATATACATACATATATATATATATACATATATTTATATACATACATATATATATATATACATACATACATACATATATATATATACATATATATATATACATATATATATATATATACATATGTATATATACATATATATATATATTATATATATATTATATATATATCCATTGTCTTTGGGTTCCCATGAAATGAGATGGATGGCCATACACATCTTGCGGGTCTACGGGACGCGTATTCTAGTGCCATATCCGAAAAGTGATGCAGAGAGGAGGGGGCCCCGAAAAAAATCGGCCAAACAAAGGAGGCAAAGAGCCCATGTTTTTCCAAGAAAGTACTTGCTGCGTTGTGGAGCTTTTGGGGCAATTTGAGGATACCACGAAAGTTTGCTGATGTGTGTGATTGCCAGGAATGGCTCTGCCAACCTCACATGTAGGTGCCATTGTGTATTCTACCCCCAGTTGTCCACAGCATGTTACAGATTTATGGCTGTGTCTGGAAATGGGGCACCCCCCGCAATTTATGGCCATTCAATGGGGAAAATGATGACTAACCATGACTAACCAGCAGATTTAGGGTACCCTATTTATCCTATTTTCAGACAAACCCTCGTATTCCAGTCTATATAGGTTTCTTTTTGCACACAATATTGCAATTAATATATATATATATATTACACGTTCACATACTCTAGTGCGTGTACCTGTTCTTGTTCACACGAGCTTGACAATGCAGCCGTTCGGATTTGGACGATGTATAATTTGGTAATCCCAATGCCATAAACCGTCCCAGTAACCAACCGTCAAGCGTCACTTTACATGTGTACATTATTGGCAAATAATTGAGTGTATACCCTGTTACAAACCCCAATCGGAGGTGTGTTTGTCATAAGTTATCATTAGCTTATCCCATAGTCAACCAGAGTTAACCCATGTTAACCCATTATCAAACCATGATTAGAGAATAATTGAAAATCACACCAGAATTGATGTAGTAACAATAATTCTCCTAGCCCAAGGCTATACCCATACAACTGCTGACATGTTTCCATAGTTTTCATTAGTTTTCCATAGATATATTTGTATTGTATTATATTTATATAGCTGGGTGATTTATCCCATTACAGTATATCCCATTATGATATCCCATCAATTCCACATATCCGGACAAATTATAACGCCACCACGTCGCGATGTCACTGGAATGATGGTGAATGGAATGGTGTACAGTAGCTCTGGCCGCTATGAAAAATAACTATGATGTTTAATAGTTAAATCATGATAAATCATCTATAAATGGGCCATGTTCCATAGCTATGTCAAATAACCAGAGGGTATATCCCATTCATATCCCATTAAATCCCTATCAAATCCCACTAAATCACTATCAAGCTTCATCAACTTCTCATTATGTACTCCCATATATATATATATATATATGATCCCGTCTTCCGCCCGCGAGGTCCCCCCCCCGAATGGGATGGGTCTCCAGGTAGCACCCCCGTTCCCTTCTATTTGCAAGCTATTGGCAGCATTTCTGAGATCCAGCCTCGTATTTGCTAGGTTTTTGCAGCGATTCTGACTACCAGCCTCCTATAAAATATATATATATACATTTACATGTCATAGATACATACATAAATATATATATATATATTCACATTCGTATTTAAATATAAAATTATACATACACATAAATACATATATTCACATATATATATATATATGTACACATACATATATATATATGTACACATACTGCGAATGGGTCGCAATTGGTAGCAAGTCAATCACCAGCCCAATCCCGGTCGGGCAAAACGCTTTTCCCCAGACAAAACGGCCAAGGTCGTTGAAGGAGGTCCAAGCTGAAAACACCAAGCAGCAAAGGGTGTCCACACCCAAATATGTAGAGCGCCTCGCTCTCGCCGATATGGCACAAGCAATGTCCCTCCCACCACAACGCCTATGAGGGCCCTGAGCCTCGATTGCTTCAGAAAGAGAAATGGTTTCCACCTGCAGTTTCATGTCGGATGGACCTTGCTGGATATCGGATACAGGGAAAGCATGAGGAATCACCTTGCCATGGTATAAAATTCACACTCGCAAAACTTCAAAAATTTTGGCAAGGTGATGGTTCCAGGCTGGAGTTCTCATGACAATTCGAACGCAACCACTTAAGGCGAGTTCGAGCATCCGATCTGGCCTTTAAGATTTCCAACTCATCATTCAGTCGATATTTTCCTTGAAGCAAAGTTTCTCTGAGAAAACTTGTGTCCATGATTTTGGTCAGGCTGTCGGCTAACTGTGCACCACTATGAACCCATCTCAACTGGATCCCCTCCGCAAGGAGGTCTTTGATCTTTCGAGCGTTGAGCTGTGTGCGAAACTCACTGCAGGCTGGTGGAGGAGTGACTAAATCAAAAAGGCTTTTGCAATCTGTCGCTACTGTATCTTCTGTTAGTCTTTGGGCCTTCATGGTTGCAGTCGAAAACGACTGAGGTAACGAACGTAATGCAGCTTCTGGATTTTGCCATCGAACATTGGAATCCATCAACCATGCCCAACATAAACGGATCCAGGAAAGTTGATCCAAGACTGAGCTCAAAGACACCGTCTCTGCTGCCAGCGTACTCGTCACTACGCGTTGTATCTTTTTGCATCCCCACGAAATCGGGTTAACCAAACATGTAGTATTGTTTCCAATTTCCTTGTGGGTACTCATGATGACACAACCAGTATGTGAGTCAGGATTTTTCCTGGATGAGAATGATGCGTCCGAAAAGGCTAGGAAACGGAGATCTTCACAGGCAATTGGTTGAATGGTAATTGAAACATTGGAGTGTCTCTTGGCTTCGTGAAGGGTCTTATTGGCATCTAGGAGTGTTGCAACTGTGGCACTGTTGATTGAGGATTGCAAGTGGCTGAGTCTGCTCGCTAGGTCAGGACGTGTATGGACGGAGGCATATTGTAGGCTTCCAATGAGACCACGCAAAGCTAAACGTTCTTCCGGACTGATGTTTTCTGTTTCAAGCTTTCGTCGTTCCACAGACACTTTAATAGGTTGAATCTTTTTCACATATTCTGCTTGTGACAGTGTAATGGACTTGTTGGGATGTTGAAACATATCAATTCCAGTGAACGTAAATTGGCCAACCTTGTGTGATCCAAAAGGATAGACCTTTTCAAGTTCTTTAAGCTTGGCAAGGAAACGATCATTGCCGCCACATAGGCCATCATCCACATGAACTCCAATGATACCCTCAGGCTCTCGAGTCTTCTGATGTCGGAGAATGAAAGTACATGGGCAAAATGGGGATTGTTCAAAGCCTAAAAGCAAAAGTTGATCTTTCAATGCCTGAAACCACAAAAAGGGTGCGTCGATGAGGCCGTACGCACTTTTGGCAAGCCGACATATTTCGTCAGGACGTAGGTTCATCTTGGTAGCCAACTCAGGAACTGGTTCTAATCCTAGGATTCTATCACTTTGAGGACGACCCTGAAGGAATGCAGCCTTTACGTCAAACGATCTCAAAGTCCATGATTTGGATGCGATTAACTGTAGTAGCAACATCTTTGAGTGTCGATTGAGCGTGGGAGAATCTCTGGGAATTTCGGTGATCTTTGGGTCCAAGTACCCCAACACTACAAGTCTAGCCTTTGCCTTTTGGGTCCTGGAGGGATTCTGTGGATCCCTGTCGGATTCCTCAATGGGTTTCCATGTGAGAACCCAGCGGCATCGCAACACTTGCTCAGGTGCAATCTGACTTCTGAACATCCGCTGAACCGTGCCCGTGTTCAGCCAATTGGTGACTTCAGCGTCCTTGGCACGCTGGAACTCGGCACGCTCAGAACTGGAGAGCTCAGACAGTCGGATTTCTGATCTTTGGCGTTTGGCGGCTGACACCAGAAAGGCTAGTTCTTCTGGACGATCACTTTCTCTCCATTGTTGAATATCATCATCAGTTACAAATAACTCACAACGCCAACCAGTGTTTGATTCAAGCTCTTCCAAAACATTATCATCCACATCTTGACAGTATAAACCTTCACAAATGAGATCATCATCAGTATCATCCGGAATAGGAATTTCTTCTGGTACTTCAGGAACAGGAATCTCTTCAGGAACAACATTGTCAAAATTAGACACTTGATTGGGACTGTCATCGGTGGCTGGTGTGACAGGACCGTCGGGTTCTTGATCTGGCTGATCTTCTTGTCCTGAGCTATTTGATGCAGGCACAGGTTCTTGCGGCATTTCTGAGGGAACAACTACCGGGCTTGGTCGAAGGCCATTGTGAGCTCCTGGAGAAGCCTCAAGATCTACAAACCGGGTAATTCCTCCAGTGATGTCAGCTGGTAACTGACGGGCAATTTCTGAGGCAGTTGGGTCACCTGGTCTGAGAACAATCTCTTTGGCTTCTTCGGTTGTCACAGGACGAACATGTTCGGGGGCACATCTGAAAAGTTTGCTAGACATGGTTGCCCATATGGTCTGTTGATTTTCATGAACCACCACTTTCATTGGACCCTGCCAGAACCCAGGTGATTGCCCATTTCCAGCTTTCCACACCATAACCCATTCACCGGCTTGATAGAAGCCTCTATGGGGATTAGATCATCTCAGCATTGCCCTTCGAAGTGCTGAATCATTGTCGGCACTATGGAACGCACGACGAGCAGTTTCCCGCATTGCCAGTTGATTACGAAACTTCAAACCCTGAGCATGATCAGATTCGGCCAACATGTGCGCGGGTAAAAGCATGTCACTGCTGACTGATCCTGGCAAACGGGTGTGCTTTCCAAGCACCAACACTTCTGGCGCATAGCCTCCTTTGAGACTGCAGGCATTCTTTGCTTGGATGCACCACCAAGTCGCATTCTGCAAGTCCGTGTAAGTTTGAATGGCATGTTCCATGTCAAACTTGGTCAACATGTGTTGGAGGATGGCACCATGTCTTTCCGATTTTCCATTCTGAAAATGAGCTTCAGGACTAATGGTGGTTGCACGAATGTTGTGACTCTGCAGGAAAGTCATGAACTCATCACTGTTGAGTTCCGAACCGGCATCTACCAACAATTCACCAGGAACTCCCGCCCAGGAAAGCCACATGTTCATAAGTGATTGGATTACAGCATCTGTTGATTTGGATGGTGCGATGCAAGCTGCATGGAAGTTGGTTCCCCAATCAATTACATGATACATATGGAAGGTTTTACCCCGGGCATTAGTCCATGCTACCCCATCGATGGAAATTCTATCGTTGAAGTCAAGATCATCCTTTAATGAACTTGGTCGGGCATGCTTCGGCAACGAGCTCTGCGTGCATACAGGACACTGGAAGTGTCGGGCAGCTTTGACCATTTCAGGTCTGAATCCCTGTTGTAGCATCACGGTGCTCATGCGTTCGGGACTGGGATGACCCATGTTCTTGTGGATCTTCGACAACAAGTTTTGATCCTCTTTCGAGAGTGCTTTCATGGCTTCAGGAACTTTTGTTGTTATTGGGATTGCGACAGGTGATGTTATGTTATCTTCAGGGTTAAATTGGAGGTTATCTTGAGGGGCTACTGTATGTGGTGTATCGGCTACGGTGGGAGGATTATTAGGAGTATTGTTGGGTGACCTTTCCGGATTGGCATCTTTGATCTCTGTGGGACTCTGACCATCTGGTCTGGACACATCGGCGGCCTGGCTTTTGGAATTGACATCTGGGGTTGATGTCTCTACAGCCGCAGGAACATTCGGCTTGGCAGTGACCACGGCGTCACGAGTCTCTCCGGGATTGGCAGCAAATACCGTTATATTGATCCTACAGGCATGTGAAGGACGAATCCTCTGACGCTTTGAAAGGATTTCCCAGTTTTCCCATTCGTCTTCAACAAAGATCCTAGTGGTACCCCTTTTGAGAAAAGCACATTTACGCCAGGGAGCTTCATGTTGGGCAACATCTTCGGAGGGAGCTATGGTACGGTTTGACCCTCGACAGGCAATGGCAAATTTGATCTCCTTATCAGGCAATAACTCTTGAAGTTCTTGCAGGATATTTTCATCATGAACATGTAATTTGCCAACTCTACCTAGTCTCACATCGATCATGTCAAACACTTGTGTCCAAGCTTCCAATGCATTCAACGAGGATTGTTTCCCGTTCAGTTTCCTTCGTTTAGCCTGCATTTGGGCGGTCATTTCCGATGACCTGGATACTTTCGGTATTGCCTGAGTGACGAGACGACGTCGCTTCAACGCAGGTTCGTTGACAAGGGCAGTGGCATCGCTTACAAACATGACTGGTTCCACAGGCCTCTCTCTAGGATACACCAATTTACACAAAACCTTGGCAATGTCTCTGGCAAACTTTCTTGGATACATCTCAGAGAATGTCGATCGGTTCATGCGACTGTTGTTCACAACTGTGGAACCCTCAATGACCTGATGAACATGATTTCCAGGACACTTCTTAGTCCGGAGGTGTTCAACCATCTTGGATGAGGTTGACAACACGGTCATGCCTTTACGGATGAAACGACCATTCTCAGGATCCTTCAAGTTTCCGGCCATGCACATGTCAAAATCAACTGCCAAAGTATGTTGGTGAATCTCTTGCAAGTATGGAAGTTTAAACATGCATGACGCCTTGGGTTGTTCCCAGTGCATGTGTCTCTGGCGAGACCTTTGGAATCTCAGGACGACAAGTCCCAAGGCCACTTGCTCCAAGTGTTGCATGCGCAGCTGTTGAAGCTCGTCCCAGGCTAGGAGAGATCGACTGCCGTTCAACGTGGACCAACCAGACCACGGACCACAAGATGGTGAAAACCAGACATGTTCAGGATCATGATTCAACAGCACGTTGAAAAGTAACTTGCGACCCTCGGTTGATTGCAAATCACATTGAGCTAAACCTAAACGTTCGGCTTTACCTCCAAGATTTCGAACTTGTGTGGTCAGTTGGCTGTTCGGTCCACAGAACA